GCAGCCCATGGGGACCATCTCTTGTCACCTGTGCCCCCAGTGAGCTCCTATTGATAGCTTGAAGTTGGCCAAGCTGGGAGCGCATGCAGGACGTGGTTTCCGGCAAGCGCCAGAAATCAGGGCTCCTCCCCACCTCACAAGGGCCCATTGCTAGACCTTTACTAACTCAGGAGGGGATCTAGGGCCTCGTTTCTTACGTGCTGTTCAGATGTAGCAGAGTGGCTGTGGGACTCGCAGTTAGAGAGAGAGAGAGGAACCTTCCTGATACAGTACTTGGACGATAGCAAGGGGGGGGGGGTGTATTCCCAGAAGCAATGGTAGGGTCAGCAGGTTCCTGATCTCGCTACCACCCTCTTGTGGTAGGGTTCTGGCTCCCCAGGCAGGTCATTCTGTGGTATTTTGGGAGTCATTGTCAGAGTCTTGGCCTACATGCCATGGTTCTGGCTCCTCAAATGATTTCGTCAGCAACTGGATCTCTGTGTTAAAGTCCCTGTGCAAAAGCTGGCCAGTGAGGCTTATGTTACCTGCAGATGCATGCCGACTGATGCACGCAGACGTCCCCATGTAGCTGCCGGATGCCTGCATCTACCCTTGCAGCAGTATGCAGAGCACAGCAGGGAACAGACGGCACATTCTAATCTAACATACGCAGCCGAGAAGCAGTTAATGAAAGGGCCATGTAGAGAGGTGGGAGTAGGAGACTGGTGTGCCGTGGCTTAGCTCCTCTGGGCTGCTGAGGGCTGGTTGTTATAATGCCCCATTTGGGGGGAGGAGGTTGTTAACTGTGGGCATCTCTCAGATGTTAGTTGCATATGCTACATTTTTTTTAAAGCTATAAAAATGTCTTCCTACTACACTGTAGTGTCGTTTTTGCTCTGGAGATTGTATGCATCTATTGTATCTGTTACGAAGGTGCAAGGTGCGTGGCATTGACAGACTGATGGAGAAACCCTACCTCCACACTGAAAGGGCTGTAATATGACCATGGTCATTAGTCCTCCCTGAGGGCGATGAACTTGCAATGGCTCGCCACATCTGCATCACCCGGACTGATGTCCTCAGGCTGTCCCTCTGGCCTGGGAGAACTGGCCACCAGCAGCTTCTCCTGTCACGATCCGTCTTGCCCAGACACTGTCCTCTCAGCCCGAGAGCCAAGGGTGTCTAACAGGTCCTAGGTCCTGTCCCCAGCGTGGCTGCCTGTGCCTGCTCTGTCGTTGCCGCCGCTGAGGAGAGACCCAAGTTCCACCCCAGCCCCTGCTTCCCCCAGTTTTCTGTATGGTCCACAGGCGCTCCAGGCTCTCACTCGAGACTGGGGGTGGGGGCCCGCAGCAGTGTAGGCCTCATGCCCAGGACAGGGGAATTCAGGGCAGGCGGTAATATGAGTGGTTGTCCACGCTGGCCAAAGTAGAGCCTCGCGACCCCTTAAAATGGCGGGAACTGAGACGGGCACAGGCAGCCTCATTAGGGGCCTGCATGCGCGGGTCCTCTAGGAGGGCCTGAGGTGCCTACAGTCAAGGGGCGGGGCCTTGTGAGGGAGCGGGCCGACGGGGCCGCCCAAGGGCCCAGGGGCAGCAGGGCAGGTTTGGTCCAAACCCACCGCACGGCTGGTGCCTCAGCACATGGGGGCCTTCGGGCGCAGGCGCAGTGCGCCTCACGGGGTGCATTGTGGGGGAAGGGGTGGGACTTCGTGTGGGGGAAGGGGTGGGACTTCGTGTGGGCACCTCATTCCTTCAGCACAGCGGGAAGTGGAGGTTGTGTTCGAGGTGTGCTCTGAGGGGGCACGTGGAGCAGCCATGCAGGCCCCAGATGGTGGCGATGGCGGGGGTCGTGATGGGGCAGAGGGCAGTGCCAGTGGGTCCAGTGGCCCTGGGCGCTCTGGAAACCCCGGGATGTGGGAAGGCGGAGGAACAGAGGGTGCTGCTGCCGGGGAAGCGCCCCCGGTCGACGGGGCGTTGCCCGGTTCAGGGCGGGGTGCAGAAGCTTCTGCAGAGGGCTTGGGAAACCAACCGCTGGAATTGTATCCTTCCCAAGGGTCGGGGCAGGGCTGAGGGCCAGGCTGGGAGTGGCCTGGGATGGGCAGAGAGAGGTTTGGGGGTCTGGCGGGGAGGAACATCCTCGGGGCCGAAGGACGAGTGAGGAACCGAGGCGGCTAGAGGAAGCGGACTTAGGGGACCAGCCTGACGGATGGGGGCTATGCTGTGGGCTGGAGTCGGCGGAAGGGGTCGTGGGTGGCCCGCGTCTCCAAGTTGCCTTAACTGGTTCTCCACCAGCGGCCTCACGGTGCCTTTCCTGTCCTTCATGGATGCGGAGATTGCCCGCAGGTACCTGGCCCCGGGCATCGAGGCCCTCGGAGGGGCGGTTCACAGGGAATTCGCCGTGATCGGCAGTGACCTGGTTATGTAAGTTCACAAGGGGCCTGGCTGAGCGGGAGCAGGCGGCAGCAGATGGCTGACCCGTCTCGCCCTGCGGGGGCACTCTGTGAGACGCATGGAGACACCCAAGGGTTGGTCAGAGGAGGGCCGCGGTGCAGGGGGCGCTCTAGGTGAGATACTGAAGGATTAGCTGCATGGCCCGGCGGGGCGGGGCGGGGACCAAGGGAGAGGAGTTGGCATCTTGGATGTGATTTTCTTTTCCCCTTACTTTTAGCCGATTGACTGCTGAAAACTCCAGCCTCCTGCAGATATCCGTCGCCTCCTTGCTCAACCAGCTTTCCATGTTGGTGCAGGCCATGCAGCGCTCTGTGCCCCCCTATTTCCTGAAGCTTCAACCAGGAAAAGGAGGTTGAGTTAGTTCTCTTCCAGCCCTAGGGCACTGATTCCTGCGGTGATCACCCGTGTATGGGCGGGGATGCGGGAGCGGTTTGTTTCTCTGGACTGGCGCTAGGGTGCATAAATGTTTGTTAATGCTGGAAATAAAACTGAACTACTGTGCTGTGCTTGAGTGTCTTTTCACCTATTGCTTGTCCGGCTTTTCTCACCCTTGTCCTTGCCTTGGGGGAGCAATTCTGAGATTCAGAGAGTCAAATATCATAAGATAATCGAAGATGCTTTAGAAACGGAAGGTGAAAGTCGATTGGGCATCAACTATACCGTCAGGAGTTGGAAATATATCTGTACTTACTCTCTTTTGGGGATTGGGGGACTGAGAATAGAACCCAGCGGCGCTCAAACAAGGAGCAACATCCACAGCCCTGTTTTTCTTTTGTTTGGAGACAGGGTCTCGCCAAGTTGCTGACATTGGTCTCCAACTTGCAATCGTCCTGCCTCAGCCTCCCAACTTGCTGGGATTACAGGCTTGTGCCACCGCACCTGGCATATTTGTACTTTAAAGTCGTAGTTATACACGAAACGGATACCAGCCACAGAAACATAAACTCTTTTGCTTGCAAGTTTAACATTAGTGTTTTTTCCATGTAATCTCCCAAGTTTTTAAAAACTCTTCCAAACCATGTTAATGCCAAAAAAAAAAAAACAAAAAAACACAGCAATGTGATCACTGAGCATTTAAATTGCACTTGATCTCCTCACCTCATCTTTTTTTTTTTTTTTTTTAAAGAGAGAGAGAGAATTTTTCAATATTTATTTTTTAGTTTTCGGGGGACACAACATCTTGATTTTATTTTTATGTGGTGCTGAGGATGGAACCCAGCTCCCCGCGCATGCCAGGCGAGTACGCTACCGCTGGAGCCACATCCCCAGCCCTCTTCACCTCATCTTGAATGAGGATTGCTAGGGATTCCTGTACACATGCCCCTGAGTGAATGGTGGATTGTATAACAAGGAATACATGACAATGCATTACTTTCATTTACTTTTCTACTTATTTCAGGTTCTGGAATATGTTCATACAAAATTGTTCTGACCTCCAGGAATTGTGCCCTTCCACCAGAATGGTGGCTTCCTCACATCTCTTGTCACTGCTGGATCTAGTTCTTGCTAGGATTTTTTTTTTTTTTTAATTACTTAGTTTGCACCACAAGAGCAAGCAGACTAGAAACACCAGAACAAAAATTTAATGCCTTACTATGCCTGTTTCAGATCAGCAAAGAAAAAAAGTGTCAGGGCAATGAGTTGAGTGTTTTCAGGGTGAGAGGGCTGTAGCATTGGGAAAATACAATTAGAAAGAAAATTGTCTGCCAGCCCAGGCAGAGACCATCCGCACAAAGGTAGAAAATGATTTCATTATTGAATAAGCAGTGCACCAGAATGTGATGCACATTAAAGCCAATCCATTGAGACTGCAAAGGGGCAGAAAGGCATCACCCTCTCATGTAGCCAAGCAGATCTAACTCATTCCATCCTTGCTCGGTGGGGTAGGGGGTGGACAATAACTAGTCATTGGGAAGGATGACTTGCCCGTGCCATCTCTCACACACAGTACACACTAAATTAGCGTGGCATTCAGGGCGACCGTATGTATTAGTTTATTGCTGTTGGGGACTGACTGTGCGTTCTCCCAGATTCATGTGTTGAAGTCCTAACCAATCACCAGTGTGGCTGTATGTGGAAATGGGGCCTCTAGGGGAGTAATTAAGGTTAAACGAGGTCCCAAGTGTGGGGCTCTGATCCAACATGGCCTTCTCAGAAAAGGCGAGGGCTCTGGTGCCCATTTAGGGCACATATGCTGGGGAAAGACCAAGTGAGCACATAGCCAGAAGGTGGCCAACTACAAGCCAGGAGGAGAGCCCTTGCCAGAAACTGAATTTACCATCACCTTCATCATGGACTTCACAACTGTGAGAAAATAAATTTCTGTTGTTTCAGCCCACTGGTCTGTAGAACTTTGTTATGGCTGCCTGAGCAGACTAATATAACTGTCTTTATCCAAGGGAAAAATAAGTAAACTTCTCACATTCTTATGACAGGATCTCGTTTTCACACTTGGAGCAAGGAGCCCACTGAAGTAAGACTTCTAGTATTTCCTCTCCCCCCACCC